CACATATTTCTAGTAAATGATTAATAACTATCTTTACTAATGGCTGATCTATTTCTGTAAATTTTTATAGAACTCAAGGAGTCAAATTATCGCTTACGATTATGGTTTAGGATTATCTGTAATATTATCTGCTGATGTCTTAAACCTATTCAATGCACATCTACTTATGACAATAGCATATTTATGATAGCTCTTCATCTTTTATTAACTCTTTGTAGACCATATGCTAAAATAATTTTCAAACATTACTGTGAACACTGACTCCTAGTTTTAAACACACCTATGTAACTTTTGCACACAAAACCCTCCTTAAAAAGCTATGACACAAATCAACAAAAGCCAGGAAACTGTGACCGCCATTCTTTTTTTAAGCCATTGTATGTTTTGTCTTTGCAAGCACTTGAATTAGGGACAGGGTTTCAGCCTTAAATTTGCATTTCCTGGCTTTTGTTGGTTTATATCACAGCTATTACGTTATTTAAACATTTCTCAATATTAGCCTGTTGGTTTGTTCAGTAGAGGGGAAAAAATATCTTGGAGGAAACTTGCCCCCCTCCCCAGTGTTCCCAAGGGAATAGCAAGGCTGTGAGGATGCAGCCAGCACACAAGGCAGTGGTGTGAACAGCTGCTCTTACTGAATGTTGCTGCTGTGAAGGCAGGTTTATGCAGTGCACAGAAGGATCAGAGTATGAACCACTCACCTTTTCCCCAGTCACTACCAGGGTATAGCCATCATCTGCTAATGAATTCTTGACAACAACTTGGGGAGAGACAGGGTGGGAGTCTAGCTGAAAGCTGACATGTGGAGCTGTGGGTTCTGAACGGGAAACCACTATCTAAGAAAGAGAGAAATTTTGAAAATCAGCAGGCAGTGTGTGACACAAATGCATGCTGCTCAGCAGTCTCACGTTCTCTGCTTGCATTAATTACTTTGCATTACATTGCATAATATTTTGCATAATGTTCCATCATGATCTGATTAAAGCGCTATAAAATCTACTTTATTTAATACAGCAAAATCATGGCTGTTGGAGGATCCTCCAAATACACTATATTTATTTAAATGTGAAGGAGTCATTGTGTGTTTCCTAGTCCTTTAATTTCAGTCACCATAAAAAATGAAGATGGGACATTTAATCAGTCCTGTACATTTAAGAATGAAGAATTTTATCTATCTATTTAAAAGAATCTTAAAACTCCAGGTCTTCAGAAGTCCGATATATTTCCATTTATTCTCATTTTGGTTCTTCAGCTTGAAAAGCAAACTTTAACCTGTGTCAACCGTCTTGCTGCATGTGGGGCCGTTAGAATGCAAAGCTATGGCAGGCGCAGATTGTCGCTGTGGGCAGAGCCACAAGTCCACAGAGCTTGATTCCCAGAGCTGGCAACATGGCTATTGCTCAGACAAGCTCCTTGCAAGATGTGACTGGGCACCTTGGCTCCTGCCAGGTGTCCAGGACAGAGCATTCAAAGTACTTCTTAAATGACAGGGAATGCTGAAGGGTCATTTAGGAGATGCTCCAAAACAGGAGCCTAACTTAGTTGTTCTGAAGACCCTTTGCAAAAGCCTTTCCTCTCTCTCCCTCTCTCTAGATTCTAGGAGATCTTAGGGAGATTAGTCACGCCAGTATGAAATTTCCCCACTGGTCATCTCTCTGCATCTTGAATTACCTAAATACTTCTGAGAATCCGGATCTATTTCTGCAAACACACGCCTAACTTTACTACTGTAACTTTGTTGACTTTAACGGGATGAGTCATGGCTGTTAAGCAGAGGCATAAAGCATCTGCAGATCAGTGTAGATATTTGATAGTGAGATTTTATAAGCTTGGGCCTGCAATCCAGAAGGATGTGCACCCAAATGTGATAGCATCAGGCAACAAAGGCAGAGGATTGTTTACATGAGGGAAGATCATGTTCATGTTTCAAAAGCTCATCACGTGTAGTTTACTTAAGGAATTTAGATAATGAACATTTGCTGAGAAGTTAGGATTCAATGGGGTTCATTATTTAAAAAGATTGAAGCCATTTTGGAAATAACTTGTATGTCAAATGTTTAATTTTTCACTATAATGAATCTTTTCTTCTGACTCCAAAGGCAGGATCAGAACAGGCAGGACATTGACTTACACAATTTCACTGGCTTTTCGCACTGCCAAGGTCTTTCACCAAGATGGCTGACTCCAAAACTAGACTTAGAGATGCTGTAATTATAGCTGATTTTTTTGGTAATTCAAGACTCAAATAAAATATATGAGCAGTTAATTCATGGCGATAAGTGCTCCACATCCCAGAGGTATTTATAGTTTGGGGTTACAAGAGGCTTTTTTTCCTTTAAACTGGCTTTGTTACAGACTTTCCTATAGATTCGTTTCACAGCACAGAAAGTGCAGCTTTTAGAAATCAATAAGGTATGATCATTTTTGGTGACACAGAAGTATGGTCTCTGACTCAGTGTAACAGGGCATGAGCTCTGTTTTCTATTCAGGACAATGAAAAATAGAATTGACTGAAAAGCTGCATGAAAAAGCTTGATTAATGTTGGCATTACGGGGAGAGGTAGCACCACAGCTGCAAATACCTTTTTAGTTGATCATTAGCCATGTCTCATCTCAAATACCCACTGCTATAAAATGCTAAGAATTCTTTTCCATCATTAATCCAGGCTTCCTCTTATTGCCAAGCATTCTTTCTGATTGAGCCACAGTGTTAACCCTTTAAACACATCTGCATTCCAGCCTCACAGCAATACATGAAAATTTGGATTCCATCTGTAGAATCTTAGAAAAATTACTTGGTACTGACCAACTCTTATTTTACTGAGGCTGACACTCAAATCACCTGCTCAAATCCCAAGCCAGTAGTCTTTGACCTCATGACATACAGGGAGCTCAAATTACATTTCCTATCTCATTTGGGACCACAGAATAAAAGTTTGGATTTTGCTTAGAACTAATCTACCACCCTACAGTACTGCCTTAACAGAGAGTAGATGCAAAAATGCTCTTTTTTATGTATATAAATGTGGGGGTTTTGTACACATCAGCCCAATCCTTGAAATTCTATCTTACTCTTATCCAACATAATCCTGAAAAAAAAAGGCAATTTGAAGACAGCTTCTACAGTAGAAACAAGAGGCTACTTAGGACTCCAGTGTCACTCTCATAAACCTCTGATTTTTATGGCTTGGGACTGGGCTGGTATGTGTGCAGTGTAACTTTAATGTGCCATGGATGCAAAATCATACAGGGCTACTTCTGCCATTGAATGGCAAATGGTTCAGTACTACAGAAGGACTTCTCTCTTTGAAAAAACTGTGAAGTCCTGGGTTTTTTTGGGGTGTCTTTTTTTTTTTGGGGGGGGTAGTGGTGATATTGTATTGTGGGGTTTTTTTACATTTTTATAATTTATTAACCAAGCATTTCTTCAGAGCATAAGAGAAAAAAAAGCATATCTACGTGCCTGCACTCCAGCAGTTAGGAGAAAGGGAAGGTCTTACACAGATAAGTAATTAACTAAAGGAGAATAAACAGACATTAGCAGTAAACAGTCAGTATTTGCAATAGTGAGAAGTCACCAGAAGTGTTCTACAAGGTGTCTGTGCTGGGATCCATACACTCATTTATGAGTTAGACAAGTGGTTGAACAGTCCAAGTGACAAAGTTTTCTGATGATCTGAAGGTATTGAAGTTGATAAGGATGAGGACAGACTATTAAGGATGGCAGAAGGACTTTACAAGACAGCGTGTCAAGACAATAAAATGGTAGGTACAATACAACAAAGAAAATTAACTTAAAGCAGTACATGATAGATAGTTATCTTAACTGTTTTGCAGCAGCCAAAAAAATCCCAAACTGATAAAAACTTAGGAATTATTAGAAAAGGATTAGAGAACAAATCAGAAAACATCCTGCTGTCATAGAAGTTCATGGCTTGCCCAAAACTTGAAATCTCTGTGCAGTTCTGGTTGCCTCCTGCCAAAAAGAACATGTTAAAAAGGGAAAAGTTTCAGAGAAAGGAAACAAAGATGATCAAAAGGCTGTAATGAACAATGACTGAGTATGGCAGATGTGGAATCTATGAAAAAGGAATACAGAATCATGAGTGAGTAGAGACTGATCATATACTCGTTTTCTACGACTACCTGAAAGGAGGTTGCAGCCAGGTTGGGGTTGGTATCTTCTCCTAAGGCATAGGACAAGAAGAAATGGCCTCAAGTTACACCAGGGGAGGCTTAGATTATGTATTAGGAAAAATCTTTTCATCAAAAGGGTTGTCAAGTATCGGAATAGGCTGCCCAGGAAGTGGTGGAGTCATCATCCCTGGGAGTACTTAAAAGATATCTAGAAGCAGCACTTACAGACATTTTTTAGTTGTGGACTTGGCAGTGTAAGGTTAATGGTTGGACTCAATGATACTAGAGGTCTTTTCAATCCTAAACAATTCTCTTATTCTATGATTTTACTCTAATAAAAGTACTAAATACCATCAAAAGACAAAATCGAGACTTCAGTTCAAGGCAAACAAAAGAGTATGACATCCTACCAATACGTCATGACCTATGGGACTCCTTGCCAAAGGATGTGAATGCAAGAAAAATACACATTTAAAGGGAAACTTCACAGGTACACGGAAAATGCTAAACAGACAAAACTCAATAGCTCAGGAAATTGCCAGAAAGGAGAACAGTTGGAGATTTGAAGCAGAAGGCATTAGCTATGTTGCCTGGCTCCCTAGGCATCCACTTGTCAATACTACTGGAGACAGAGCACTGAACTAGATGGACCCTTTGTTTATATACATGTGGCTCTTCTGATGTCCTTAAAAATAACTCTTCCGAGAATCACATTGAATATCAGTAACTACAATGTCAGACATCCTTCTCAAAGCAAAACCAAAATTTATGTCCCTCTATTTAGAGAAAAAACCCCAAACAATTACGTTATCTTTCATCATAGCTCAAACTATTTCCATGAAGATAACAGCCAACAGTAAATTAATTAATATATTTATTAACATATTCTTTATATTGGAAGTCAGTGATCACTTAGGTTCGTCTGTGCATAATATGGCATAATATGTGCATAATATGACTGTAATAATTTGAGTTGAAAAACAGGATACAATAGCTTCTTTTACAAATTGTTCTGATGTTCAGTTCTGCTAGTCAGCAGTATTGAATTACAAATGTTACTGTCTAAATGTTGAAATATCTTCTGCAAAAATGAGAGGCCTTCTTAAAGGAATACCATCTAAGTATCATATTGTTATTTTTTCCCTACATGTCTGGCAGGTGTATGCCATTATCCAGCAGAGATAGGCTCAGGGTTAACTTTATTGTGCAATGCCTCAAATGCCCTGGGATATGCAGCATAACCTTGCAAAGGGCACATATGTAGCTCTCTAAATGCTGTATATCATTCTAATCCATGGAGAATATAATGGATCTCCTCTGAAGACTATAAGCTTTTCTACTTGAACTGAATATTAAAACATATGTGCTCTCAGTACATTATTTGGCACCAGGTGTTAATTTTAATTTGACTATATGGATTTTGCATTATTCAATATTTGATACTTTTTTGCCTGGGAGAATCAAGATATATTTTTTTACCACAGAAAGAATTGCTATCATAAATGTTAAAAGTTGAGCTATAGATATGAAAATGTTACTTATCAAGAGTTTGCCACAGTTTTCTGTTAGTTTAAAATTATAAAGATGGAAGAATTGCAGCTATTCACATTCCTACTGATGCCCATGCACACAGTTTCTGCTTAGCCTTAAATAGGTCAGACTGCTAGTATCGAAAAGCCAGATGAATTGCTGGGCCACT